GATTATATTTATTCCCAATATTATTAAGTTTATTACTTCTATACATAAAACTGAGTATCTGAAAGTTAATACACTTAACAATTCTGTTTATCCAATCTGATTTGTATTTACGTTTGGCATTTTGGCTTTTTGCATGCGCAATTTGTATATGTGTATGTATCCATGTATGTATGTTGGTGCACTAACGACTTTGGGTGACAGCAGCTCCAAAAATTGCAAGCCACACACACACAAACACAGTCACACTTTTACACACACACGCGCATACACAGAGACACACACATACACACACACACACAGAGTTGTAAACTCATGCACAAAGCTTAAATCAAAAATGCTTTACGCTCTCAATTCTGTTGCATAATTCATGCTGCTTTCAAACCAAATGCAACCCAACCACAACAATTACAACAACAACAACAACGTCAACAATAAATGAAATGCTTTGTCTTCACTGACTGAAATGCCAAATTATGCGAACAACAACAACAACAATCAACAAAATTTGTGCGCGCTGACAAATTCCAAATTTGGTGGCAAAAAAAAAAAACAAAAAATTAAATAACATGAAAATCAAATCGAAAATGAAACAAATTTTACAATTCGCCTGCTTCGTCTGCACAATTGCATTCTGAACTTTCTTTGCCTATTGCCCAATCACACGTCTCTACGTCATATCTGCCACACCACCCCGCCGCCCTTCATGTTAGCCGTCCATCCCCACCCCGCCGATTGCAGAATGTCAATGTTCTTCTTTCGCTTGCATAATCTCCAGCGCGCCGAGGAGAACAAACGGAAGAAACGCGTCGAACAGCAGCGTCAACAGCAGCGGCAAAGGCGCGGCGCCAAGGTCTTCAAATGTGTCAGCGATTCCACTGGCCACCTGACCCTGGCGCCCTCCCGGCTATTCGAACGGACCCCAATGAGTCCATCCGACAGTCTCGACGAGATTGCGCTGCAGATACCAAGGTGAGTTCACATTGAGTGCCAGCAAAACCAGCTCCAAGCTGTGTGTGTGTTTGTGTTATGAGTACATTGTTGAAGCACAGCAAAACTCAAACACACACACACACACACACTTAGACACACACCTGGCTACACACAACACAAGTCGGTTACTCGTATGCAATTGAACAACTTTTTGCCTTGTGCGAACTGTGATTGTTTTGCTTTACCTCTGCCCTGGGGCCTGAGGCAGCTAACCAAACTCACAAACACCCACACACACACACACACACCCACACACATAAAGGCTGACAATCGTCTACAGCCAAGCATCATTTGTGCCCTGGATTATATAACATAATATAAAGTATATAACCAAGTCGTTATTCCTTTGTATAATGTACGTAACAAGCTGTTAACGTGATTCGTTATGAGACTTGAAGTAGCCTAAGACGTACAACAAATACTCTTAGAACGGAAAACATAAAAAGAAAATATAATAGTTATAAAATATATATATTTATGCTGGTTAA